AATTTGTCTGTGAGGCAAAAATACATCAATTATTTCGGTTACTCATTAAAATACTATAAATAATATTAACAATAACGATAAACGTAATTATAGTGCTGATGTTGGGAGAGGAGATGATGTAACAGTGGTATGAATTTCTGTACTTTTCGAAGAACTTGAATTCGATTTCGGAACTTTAACAATAATAATGATGACTAAAATGGCTGTAATAATAAGAAGTATTCCAAGACAAATCCATTTCTTTTTTCTGGCTGACATTGCACTCAAACGTGCCATATTCAAATTATCTCCTGCTTTTTCCAATTTGCTTGCGGTTTTTTCCGCTTGTTCTTCAATTCGACCGATAGTTGGGTCTTGTTCTTCAACTTGAAGCTGTAATTCTTTTAAGAGGGCTGCGAGCTCGCTAATGGTTTGTTCGATATTTTTAATGTCTTCATGTCGTTTTTTTACTTGGTTCAATACAGAATGCGCTTCTCCGGTACGTAAAATAGCCTGTTGAAAAACAGGTTGTGTCGGATTTGACAAATAATCATTGATTTCTTGTTGGGTTGCATTCGGGTTTACAACTTTGTACTGTCGTGCCATTCGGTCTTCCTGTTGACGTATATAAGCGCTTGCAACATCTTGGTATTCGCTGACTGCATTTGCGAGCTTTTCTCTTAAAAATTCTTGCCTTCGTTTATGGAGTTCATAATTAGGATCCGATATATGAAGTCGTGCATTTTCATCTTCCAGCTGCTTAATACTATTTTTATTTTCAATAATCAATTGTCGTGTATAATTTATGAGTCCATCACGCTCTTGTCTATAAGACTCTTCTTTCTGTATCAATGTACTTCCTAAAATGAGTGTTTGTAACTCCTGGATACGAGAAATGCTGGCTTTTATAATATCAATGTTTTTTTCAACTGCTCCAGCCTTATCTAAAAATTGTCCAATTTCGTTTGAGCTGCTTGAATATGCCATTATATTTGCCAAGACATAAAGAATTGAAATGAGAAAAAAAAGTCCGGGAACTTTTACTATAAAAAAAAAACCGACCAAACTTTATTTATATTAGTATAAATTCCGATCACCGTTTGTTTTTTAAAGGAGTTATGTAGTACCACCTGACGAATATACCGTTACTGTCGTGTTGGTCAAAAAATGACAGTTACAATTGGAGAAGAAAAAGTTTCTTTAGTGCATTCCTCCGGTTCTTCAGCCGAAGGTAAATATATTTTATATTTTATAATTACTAGGTATAGTTTTAGAATTACATGTTAATGACAATGTTAGTTTACTTGTTCGGCGCGACTGTAACGAGTTGGAAATGTGGTGGAAAAGAACGTTTGTTTTTAAGGTACTAATTACAGTAATTATTATTTGCTGTTTTCGTATATTTGTGTGTCATAATATTCATTTTCAATTATTCAAAAAGTAAGGATTCAAAACTCAATGGAACAAAAGCGATACGCGGTGGAATTCCTTTAGGTAAGATTAATGCTCATTCATTATTCGTAAAATTTATTTAAAACTGATTTATAAATAAATTTTTGTTTTAAAATATCAAGTTTTCCCTCAATTTGCTAAGGCTTCCGACCCATCAGCCGCAACAGCTAATCTTCCACAACATGGCATTGCTCGTATTTCTACATGGAAATGGTCAGGAACCGATGCGGATAATGAGGAAGAAGTAACCGTTAGATTTAGTACGTGTTGTATTCGTATTAACATTACGTACTGTCAATATACTCATTAACCTCCTCCCCAAAATAATAATTAGAACTCACGGATTCTGAAGTTCCAGAAAATCTTCACAAAGAATGGCCAAAGAAATTTGAAATTATATTTATCGTAACACTAACCGCCAATACTTTAAAAAACACATTTCAAGTTACAAATAATGGTACTGAACCATTCGATTTTAATGCTCTTTTACATACTTATTATTCTGTCCCGGTAAGATGAATCGACTGAATCTTGATTTTTATTTATCGTAGTTTTAACATTTATCGTGGTTTTAACTGTCATCATTTGCAGGATATTTCCAAGGCTTCGATCAAAGGGTTAAATGACATAACTTATATTGATAAAGTTGATAATCTCGCACGTGTTCTGGATGTTAAAGATTCAATTACGATTGATCGAGAAACAGATCGCATTTACGAAAATGTTTCTCGAGATGAATTTCTTATTGATTTGGGTCAGCCTGGTGGCGCGGGAAATTTCACCCTAAAAAAGATCAATTTAAAAGATACAGGTTTTTTTTTTTTCCGTTAATTTACTTTCGTATTGTTTATGTAATTTAACATTTAAATATTTTGATAAGTTGTT